TGATTTCCTTTTTGTTATTGCCATTTTATTGAAAGATTAATAATATCTTCTTACTTCGGGGGCATTTGATCCGGGCGCGAACTCCATTCGTAAATCCAATCGGTATTCTTTTCCAGCAGCTCGGTTTCCTGCGCAGAAAAAACAGACAAATAAAACAGAAATCTGCTGAATCCCTTTACGACTGAGAGAGAAAGACAAGCCCTCTGTCTGGCCTATGAGCTGTTCCTCTAATCTCTAATAATCCGATTTAAAAGTGTTTAAAACCGTACAAACGGATCCTGTATCGTCCGGTGAAATTGAAGATACTCGCGGCGGGTTCTACGTTGACCGTCAATTGAAGTCGCGGATCGAGTTTACTAGACGACACGTTTTTTACACAGGCAATGTAGGCTAGTTTTCCGCTACGGGGCTCGCCTAACACGCCGAGAACAATGTGAAAATTTTTATCACGCGACGAGAACTTGATCGCCGTCGTAAATCAATCACACTTTGCTTGCATAATCAGATCAAATATTTGTGGTGCCTGTAAATTGCTATGAATCATTATTACCAAGTAAAGTGAAATCGAAGTATACTTATAATATATTATACTTGTATAAAATATTGTCGATGATTTAACATTGAGGTTGATATTCATTATCGATCATTTTTATTTGAAAAATGCCGGCAAAAGCTTATTCAGAAATCATAATCATTTTTACTAATGTTAAATTGGCAGAAACACGGCAAAGATGATTTCGAAAACAATAAAATACATAATTTGTTAATATTTATCCATCACTCGATAAATTAGTATTAATCTAACATTTGACTTGTACTATCGACTATTCTCTCATAGTGTTGCTAATAACCTTTAATTTAATTTAAAAATCAATTTGAAAGGACAGACAAAAGAGTAGATATCTACAGTTCTATTGTGAAACTCGAGTACTTGAAACAATTATTTTCCTCGGATTAGTATAAATAAAGTCATAAAAACTCTAAAGAATAAAGAATGAATAAAATAGAAAAGAATAGGGTAAAGAAGAAATACTTATAAATATAAGTCTACACGTCTACGTATAAGTGCTAGTTACGCACCTCTTATCAGTAAAATGACTTGAAGAATAGCCAAGGATAACTCGACTGGCAATCGGCCAATCATACTACGAGCGATTGCTATATCACTATATTATGATACATGTAATGCGTATCAACGTGGCGTGCGTTTGTTTGTAAACAATTCAGTTGTTAAGAAGAAAAATTATCGGAGTTCGTACATTCATTCCAATGAATCGTGCAATAAACTGAACGAAACAATGAAACACAGTTTATTCGTTGTGTCAACAATTTACTTATCAGTATTGATAATATCTGTCGCAATTTACAATATCTAATAAATATCGAATGTTGAAATTACGAATGTTACGAAAATTCGTTTTACTGCGAATATTGTATGGTGTGACAAATATCTACAGAATGACAAAGGCAAAACGAAATAAATCAAATAAGGCAAGTTTGCAATACACATACAGCATCATATTGATACGAGTGCTACACATCACATAGCTGTTTATTCGTTCAGACAAAGCGTCAGACATTGTACAATTCACGAAAATATGAATTTTGTCAATGAAACGACGATAACGATGTCTCATTACTGTTTTTTTTATATTTTTTGACTGTGCTTGAAAGTCAGTCATAATAATTTGCTTTGTCTATTGGATGTTACTGAAAGATGTTGCTCTACTTCATAAATTTTTCAATGTTCTCCATGCATCGTGTGCGTTTAGATTTCTGCAAATATATATCCAAATACTCTTGCCGCGTGCACGAAATTATTAAAATACGAAGCAGCAACGAACAACGGGCATTTATTTTCATGACACAATTTATCCAGACCTTCTGCCAACGGATTTACCATCCTGCGTTCTACCTCCCGAAATAATGAACGATGCGTCATAGATTTTGGCTGTGAGCAAAACTTAACTAAAACTCCTATCTAAACTTACGCTCTATTGTCTAGACACACGTTTCAAAGACTTGAAAACGTTCGAACAGAAAAATTCTAAAACCGTGCGGGACGCATTTAAATCACATTTAGGACTATTAGAGCTATTTGTAGAATCGTCGCGTTGATCTTTCTATTCCGCTGCGAAAGAAAGAAGGCACGCAGCTCGCTTCATAAAACATAGAACCGCCAATACTATGAACTTCCCGATTCCAAATTTGGCAAATAAATGGCCGCGACGTACTGTGCACTATTCTAGAAATAAAGAGTACGAGAGCATAATCAGTCGGCCGGTTCAACGGACTTTGAATAAACATTGCAACGTGCAAGCTTCAACCAAGGATTTATGTGCGTCGCTAACTAGGCTACGACTCATGAGGAACAAGCCTTAAAAGGATTTTCATCGAGAAATCATCGCGCAACCATCGATCTTCCCACGCATGACCTGAGCTAGATCGACGGATCAAACGACTATAACAGTTCGGAATAAACAGATCAAAAGATCTAATTTTCACAGCAGACGACAGAAGACAGGTGTAACAGTAGAGGATTGTTAGTCAAATATTTATGATTAGTATTGTATAAAAAAGTTGATCGAAGGAAATTCTGATTTGTTTAGATCTCTAAAGTAATTGGCAGCCCACGTTGTTTAGATGAATATGAGCTCGTTGGTATTCAGGCCATTCATAAAGAAACGGCAACGAAAGATCCTTGAGATCGCCGCTTCTCCGATTTCGTACTTGCATATACATATGTATATATACGATTAATCAGCATACGAAAAATTAATAAAATTAATAAACCGAGAATATGAATCGAGCGGGAAATACTCCGTTTCAGTACCTGTAGAATCTTTAACACGTTACCAACTACGAACGTAAATTAATACATAATTCGATCTTGTTGCTTTAACAGGTTGAATATAGCGTGGAGATTATTGGTGACTAACACGAGACTTGTTAGTGACGTTTATGAAGTAACCGGTGACTGGCTACGCCAGAGTTGATTAAAGTATTTAAACCAAAGAGGCAGTCACTTGCATTTAATTTTGATGCTACGACGACGACGTAGAATACTAAATTTGCCATGCAACAATCAACGTACTAACCGCTTTAAACGCTGCTGTAAATAATTAATTATCTTTGAATAGCTCCGATCGAAAAAAGAGGAAGGAAATCCTCTTAAAATGAAGGCGCACACGCAGTGATATTCAACTATATAATCAAATCGTACGAAGAGAAAATCAAGATAAAATTCGAGTTATTACGCATCAGAATCCAACATCAAGAGGTTGGTACAAGATTAAGACCAAGCAAGAAATAGATCGACACTAAGATATAATGGAAGAGAAGTAGGCCACGCATGTTTTCGACTGGCGATCGTCGCAACACTAGTCAAATTTGATAAATCCATTCGAATCCATCTAATTTGATATTACCTATTAAAGTTGTCTGCGAACAGTCTCGCCGCTGGTTTACAGAGCATTAACACAACTTTGGTTGAAAAGCGGCTTTGTCTCGCTCGTTTCTCAGTCGCAATTGCCCGCAGGTTTCTTTCTCTCTTTGTCCCTTGCTTCCCTTTCGCAAACGTAATAACCGGGAATTACACGTCCACTGCCGGCATGTTTCGGGCCCATTCAGCTAGGAAACCCCTGGCTAGCAACGACATTTCACTAGCATATATGTAGCTTTACAGAGTGCTGCTGGCGGCACGAGAGGGTCAATGACGAAAGCTGCACTTTCTGCATATAGCATCATTATTCTATTCTGCGTCTCGAGACTCCGTGCAATTTCAGAGTCTTAACAATAAGAACGAGCCAGCTTCCTTTCTTTTTTTTTTTTTTCTTTCTTTTCCTTCATTTAAATTTAACACGGACAGACAGCGATGTGAAATAGAGTTCAGTCTTTACGAATGTTTTCGCACATAGTTTCGAGAAACTTTATAAATTTTTATCAGCGTTGTTATCCTAAACAGGACTTGGAGCCAAGACTGAAAATAGTACATAGAATTTACAAATTATTGAGAAAATTCAAATTTTCACTGGTTCGGCGTATTTAATCCTATCGTTCGTGACAAATTTTCGCACATAGTTTCGAGAAACTTTATGAATTTTTATCAGCGTTGTTATCCTAAACAGGACGTGGAGCCAAGACTGAAAATAGTACATAGAATTTACAAATTATTGAGAAAATTCAAATTTTCACTGGTTCGTATAATTGTTTAGGGAAAGTATTTAGTTTTAGAAATAAAGCACTCCTTTGTTTGTTGGAAACAACGAGAGAAACGATTTGCATCCGTAATTGATGTGTTGCCGGGAACGTGACAAGGATCACACAACTGGCATGATCGCGTGCGATGGCATACGTGACCATTGGCACGATACTTTTTCCCCTCTCCCCAATTATCTTTTCACGATTGACTACTTCTTTTCTGCTGACTAATCCACATCTATATCGCAGCCTGAATTCTGGATTGATCTTCTACGACTCTCTCCATTACATTTTTAGCTACCTAGACTATATATCGACTATAAGATTGAAATTGATCTTGAGAGAGAACTATAACTTTTGCGACACATACGAAGACCTCTTCCGTACATAGCTTGTCGGCTGCATTTCTTGTACGATCTATTTTCAGGTACAACACGTTTCTTCATAGAGTTACCTCGTGAAATAGGATGGCAGGTCAGAAAGAGATTCGCCTTTAGCGAACGTGTACAGCACGATAAACGAGAGTTGAAGTATAAATAAACTACGGACATACGTGCGTGATTCAGCAAAGGCGCGACTCGGCATCGCCATTATTCCACGTTGGACGCTAATAAATAAACGCCCGAGGATTTCTTCCCCCGAGATTCGAACGAATATTACTCGCAGCTTTTCCAAATTTCATTTTGCAAACGACGACGCGGAATTCTACAGAAAACTGGCGCTACTCGATACAACGTAATTTCCTCCTGGAAATGACTTGCAAGCGATGCGTGTGCATCGGACGTACGAAGTCGGTCACATAACACGACGAAGAGAAATTTTTATCGCGCCATTCTCCTTTCCACGCCGCCTGCATTTCCGTGCATTACGTTCCCTCGCGATGCAAACTTTCTACGTGCGATTATTAATTATTTCACGATCTAATGTAACAAGTGTCAATGAGGAAGAGCTTGAGATTTTTAATCTTAGCGTCGATCATCAGCAGCAGAAGTTTCAGAACTCCAAATTTGATTTTACTCGGAATAATAAAAGATTATTTTATTTGACGAAATTATGTTATTTCAAAAAATTCCGTGCATTTGACGAACATTTAATTCGAAAATTCTCAAACATTTGAACACAGATGATATTTCTTTCTCTAAATTATTTCAAGTCTATTCTACAAACAACTTTGTTTTTAAAAGTTTTTTTGTTCAAGAAACTCAAAAAAAAAAAAAAAAAAAATGTAGGTATATTTATCTCTAATAAAAATGAAATTCAAGCGCTACGTAAGTACAACAAGCCATCGTTCCACGTTATGTGAAACGCCGTACGTGAAGGCACGTACGCCGAACGCGTAATCATTCGTCCATACTTGTATTTATCGCATTTTCCGCGGAACAACGCGAATACGTTCGATCGGAATGAGCATAACGGCCGTCCGACTTAATCCGATAGAGAAGCGTAATGCATCCGTGCATCGAGCATCTCTCCCCGTCTTCAGCTCTCTCGTCTTGTTCGCCACGAAGTCGAACCCGTTTTCTCGAGTGCAACACACACACCGCGAGGGGACCGGTTTCTGTTCGAGATGAGAAACGTAAGCGTAACTGTGGAGAACGGCACCGCGATTCGCCTGTTCGCGATCGCGTGATCTGTCCATGGTGTGTAACTGAGCCACACGCGCGTAACATCGATAAACACAAACTCAGGTGAACGAACCAGCACAGTAAAGCGGTATACACATACGTGTAAGCGTTTTTTCTTTTTCTTTTTCTTTTTTTCGTTTTTTTTTTTTTTTTCGAAACTTTCTTCGATTTTTTCTTTTACCGCGCCGACTCGATTCAATTTGATCTCGCCCCGCTATTAGAACTTTGCACTTTTCACTTGTCTGTACATTATTTGGGAAAGTATTCGCTCAGAGTCGATAATCAATTATCATAAATAAAATTCAATGACGTGCAATCGTTGAATTTTTGCTGAGATGTATCAAAGTGGCTCCAAAAAAAAGTATCCGCGTAACTCGATTATTCTTCTCGTGAAAAGAAGGAAACATCGCATAACAGGGATTTTAAGAGGAGAGAGACTTTAATCTTCGAAATCATACTCGCGAAAAGAATTCACCAATGAAGGCATTCGAATTTGCAAAAATTTTGTCTCACCCGCTTCCGAAACAATGTAAAAATATCTTTGAAAAGAAATCAATACTCGTTGTCGGTATTGCGAAAGCGAAAGAAGCTTCATACTTTAAAATGCGTCATCCGGTTGGATTGTTCTATGATTTTTTCCTAAAGCTAATAAGCAGATTAAAACGTCGATAACTGAAAATATTGTGTAAAACAGGAAAATTCATCTTTACGGAGATTGAGAAATTTTTTTTCGTAATTAAATCCTCTATAAACTT